ACTCCACTCCTCCTGTCCTCTTTGACAGCTATGGCAGTGGTGGCCAAAGTAAGATAAAGGAATAATGACAAAGTACACCTTACCTTTAGCTGGCAGAAAAAGAAAACGTAAAAGTAAACTTACCATAATGAACACTGTTTATTTCAAGATCACGTGCCTCCTTCTTAAGACAGCAGAGTAATCTTTCAACTTTCATATGCACAAACCAGAGGTCTACTGGAACTGTGCCCACAGCATCCACTGACAAAGACGTCACTGAACACTCCTATACCTCATTACTCACTGCAAAGACTTCTTTATACAGAGCCAGTCTAAAACAACTAAGGTCCGTAAGAACATTCATTTAGGAAGGAAGAGGTCTTGACTCACATTTGCCTGGGAAAGATGGAATTCATGCTGATTGCAAAAGGTAAATGTTCTCAAGCATGAAACAAGATGTTGTCTCCTCTGCCACGGACTGACATCTTCCAAAGAAGTGGTATGAAGCCTTTCTTTGGATGGCTGGGTAGCAGTGGCATTTTGAAAAGATGGGTTTTTTTCACTTCTAACTTTACAGAAAACAGTATCACTTCCTGTCAAATGAGCATCTGTCCATGGTGACCCAAATAAGTGTTGATTACTGTAATTGACTCTCTTTGGAGCTGAATGTGAATATCATGCCTTTCCAGCTGCCAGAAAATGCCCTTGCTCCCTCCCCAGCAGAGACCACCACATTTCCACCAGGCCCACGTGTCACTGGCATTCATCCAGCTTCCTCATGTCACTGCAGCTATGTAGTGTTGCATTTCAGTGCAACCATCCCGCTGCTGTTTGTCTTAGAAACACACTTTGCTCAAGGACACTATGAAATCTGAACTCCTGTGATACACACCAGATCACAAAACCCAGGACAAAGTACATAGAAACACTAGAGAAAACATTCCTGACTCACTGAAATCACTTTTCAGAAGAGTTTAGACAGAGCCAGGTTCTGGTCACTTGGAGGAGACTACAGAGCTTTTTCTTTCTTTTTTTTTTTAATCCCCCTACCCACTCTTTTAAATGCTTTACCACCAGACAAGTAAACATCCACCAACTGAAGTTGACCTTAAAAAAAATAATTACCAACTTTAAAAGAAAATCATGACTGAAATACTAAAAGTCTACCCCAAACACTAATAACTCCCCCCCCTCAACCTGATTTTAACCCTGAGGATACTGATGTATGAAATGCTCAAAGGACTGCAGCAGGGGTTTTGTCAGTATTAGTAAAGCAGACAGGATGTAAATATGTATAAGCATAGAGGGCAGATAGCTGTTACAGTGGGGACTTGGGTATTCTGGTTTTGCAGTTAACAGTTACTCTTGTGAAAGCACAGATTTCTTTGGGCCCTGGGTAAGGATAACACAGAATCTTTTCCAAAGTTAGTAAGGTCTAAAACTGCATTGAAGACCTGAGGTGGGCATCAGACTTGTGTCATCAGCATTATCATGCATCTGTTTAACTCAGTTTCCCTTTGTTCAGAAAAACACCTGCAAACATTTCTCTGAAGATTTGTGAAAGTGCTTTTATTCTTGTTCAAAAAGAATTTTGATGCTAGGATTCAGTGGTTAGAAGTGATAAACTTTCGTAACAGACTTTTTCTGGTTCAATAACAAATTATACAGTACACAGTCAAAAGAACATTACTGAAATTGGCCTGATATTAGATACCAGAGCATATGTTTGCAGACTTGTTGGCTCTGATTGTAAATAGGCTTGTCTTCCATTTTAACTACAGTTCATTTCCAGGGAGCAATTTTTACTCTTTTAAAAACCAGTCTGTACATGTTGTACCTAAAAGCACATGAAGAACATTTAGAGAAGGGAAGTAGCATGTGTATACTTCCAGAGAAAACAGCCATTTCAGCAGAAAACAGTGCCTGACCGTAAATAACCATAAGCAGCCTGGCAGCAGAGAGCAGAGATGTTACATGGCGTGGTAGTGCATCTAAAAAATAATTAACCTGACTGATAAAAACTAACATAAGAATAATTTTGTTTGTTTGTGATTACCAGTATTATCAGAAACTGTAAATCCTTCTTGGATTGAAAAATCTAAGAAAAAAAAAATCAAGAGGAGCTTTTACTAAGCTAGCAATAGACAGCTCACATATTTTCACATGTCTTCAGGATAACATAAAAATCATTTTAAATAACGTTTTTAAATGCCTTCTACACAATTCTGCATGAACGGATAGTACTGTCCTACTAACATTTGTTGGGTCACTCACGGCAGGCTTACAGTATCCCAGTTCCACCTGTTTTATAACTTACTGACACTTCTTTTATCCATAACAAGGGTGCAACACCTACCTGAGACTTGATCTGCTCACTTCTTTCTTTGATGTTCCTCACTCTGTGCCAGGGGTCACAGTGCTGGCAGACATGCCATGGGGTATGAATGATTTAGAGCAACAGGTGAAAGTCTTTAAAGGAGTGTATTTACTACCAACTTTCAAGGACTCTCTATCAACTATGCTTGATCATATTCCATGAGTGTTCTCAGATGCACTTTCCATTGTGTTGCTCTTTAGTGGCATGGTCATATTTCATGTAAATTTGCTATTCTGTGAATTTCACAGGCTCATCTTGTAAAGCTGGTCTAGTGTGGATGGTCAATCTCCTGGGCTTTCATCAGTCAATAAGGAACAGATGCACTTCAGTGTTAAGCAAACTAATAATATTTCCTACATTTCCCATGAAAATACTTCTGCCTGCATCTCATTTACTTATACTCTCTTTAACATTCCCCTCTGCTGCCTCCTCTCACTACAAGAGTCCAAAGTGGCTCCTATGCCTTAAGCAACTTGCTGTTTTCAATGTGATTTTACCTTCTTTCCTTCAAATCTTTTTCTTAAACACCACTTCTAGACCTATTTTATTTCACAAAGCTCTGAAAGCTCAACACCCTCTGAGGAATGACATGGCCTTTAGCTAGAATTCCAGCACCAGTCTCTGATCAGACACTCCTTTGCACAACTGCAAATTAGAAGAATCCCCAATCTTATCTTCAACGGCATGACAACTGTAATGATTGCAGATCTAATTGTGCAAAAATAAAACACTTAGAAACCAAACAAAACAAATGCAAAACCTGCAAAGTCCCCTAATGCAAGGAAAAAAATATACTGGACTATGAAGTGGAAGGAATGTCATTAGAGGTCACCTGTAAATATTGTCCTCTTCACTAAAATAAACACAAAAGCAACTGTATGTGCACCTTTGATCTCACAGTGTTTCAGAACTGAAAATGTATATATTTGGCTAGGAAACAAAAATTCTTCCTTTTTCTTCTTGTTCCCCCTTCATTTATCTCATGGCAAAATGAATGTACTTATCATGCAAAGTAAAGACTAATCAAAAATAATACTTTTTGGCACAAATTATTGCCTGATTGGAGATGGTCAGTCAGGATTTCCTGGCTAGGTGACATAATATTTACTGTATGTAGAAGAGCAAGATCAGTTCCTAATGTTGATAATAGAAGGCAATGATGATAAATAGCTAGCGAATAGATCAGGAATTAGGACACCTCAATTCTAATCCAGGCTACACCACGGTTTAGTTACGATGTTGACCAAAATACTTCACAACTCAGTGTCTCTTCCCACTACAATGTGCTTCTACTATGTAGCATTGTAAACGATGAAAATATTTCTTTAATAGTTCGGTAGCCTCAAAAAAGATACTGGGATCATTCAAACGTATGCCTGAGTTCATGGCAGTATCCTGTAGCACATCGGGAATTTAAGATTTTCAGGTTAAATATACCTAAATTACACTTAAATATTTGTAATAAAAATAATTAAAAGCTGCAGAAATTAAACACACACTTGGCTTCAAACTCCATTTGCAGATTGATAATGATCAGCACCTATAAATCCTCATGGGCAGTGAAACGTTGGAAGGGAGAGAGAATGTTTTCAACAATAGCTGATGTCTGCATCAGCAACAAAAACAGTCTCTGAGCACTGGCATCAAGGAGCATTTGATGTGAACAAAGTGACATCTTGTTTCATCAAAGTTTAATGAGTACAGCAGCTCTGTCAGCAATACATTAAGACAGCAGTGTCACTGTTCGTCATACTTGGTGAGTTCAAGGCAGGCTGCAAGCATCACCATTTGTGGATTTGTCGGGGTTTCTTTTCCCTCCTGGTTCAGTAAGTTTAATGTGCAACTTAGTATTTCCCCATAAGCAACTCTTTACACTGTTTTTCTGCAGAGCAAAAATGCTTTTGTAAGCTTGGTACTTGTGCTGACTGGAAAACTAGAGTCTTTTCTCAGTAAATTTAGTTTGTTTAACTAGAAAGCAAACCAGAAAATGTAATAAAACATTGTTAGCCTTTTTTTTGCTTTTCAGTTTTCTGATAAAAACTTTTTGATGGATATTTTTTTTTTTTAGAAAATGCAATATTGCTCAGTTAAAGGTCTTCTTTACACAAAATTTATGTGTAAAACTTTCAATTCATGTATTTATCCATAACTGTCCATTAAAATAAGTGGAAAAAGATACAGTAGCATCAACAGGGAGACAAAGAAACAGTAGCAGTGAAATAGTGTATAGCCAAAGTTCAGCACTTCACACAAATTCTGCTGCTAGATCCAGTGCCACTGGGCAGTGCTTGAAAATATTACAACCGGCTTCTGAGCTGGTAGAGTTTTCTGTCAGTATCTCAGGAAATTATGGCTGAATAAGCACCTGACTCCAGGACAGGTTAAATAAGGACTGGATGTATGAGTAAGGCTCTGGGATCCAGATCTTAGATGCAAGAGCGCTTGCCACATTCTGTCATCCAAGTCCGTAACAAACAGCAGCTTGTTTCCCTGCTGGTTAATACCTTATCTTTCTCTAACTGCAGACAGGATATGGATGACACTTCATCATCTCTCATGGCATCAGCTTCCAGGATCCGTAACTGAAGCCAAGAATAGGAAACTTCTTTCTGCTTGGGAGCTGCCCAGGTGAGGTAAAAGTCTTTGTAGCCTTTAGCAAGTCAGTAATGTGGTGTTTACTATGCTAACATTTGTGAGTTTTGCTCATATTGTTGCTGAAAATGCCTCCGAGTCCTGCAGCTATTGTCAAGTTGTGTCTATTTTCAAAGGCTTCGGTTCTCCCTCCTCTGAGGGCTGAATGACTCATTTGGGGCAGTTTATTTCGATAAGCTTTTTGTTATACACAAGCCAAACTTTCAGCTCTGTCAGTCTCCAGCTAGACAAACCTTAACAGCTTATTGCCTAAAGGTCTTATTTACATTATTGCATATCTGTGTTTCACAAAGCAATCTGGACTTTACAGAAGAAACATAGAAAATGTGGTTGAAATGCAGCTCAGAAGGCCTTGTAGTTTTCAGGTATTAATGCCATTCCGACAGGTATTTGCATAATCCTGTTTTAAAAACCATGTAACAACAGAGGTCTTGCCTATCTCCTGCACAATCCACTCAAACTTTGCAATAAATAGTTTCCCTCTCCCCCATAAAGTATCTACCTTACCTCCTGGGCAAAGACAACTTAATCACCATCAACATGGAAAACAAACTATTCCTCTCCTTTCTGTGGCCTGCTGTAGAGGCTAGCCATATATTCTTTTGTCTTTGGATAGCTCAACACCACATTGAGCCAGGACTCCTATATATAACTTTCACCCATTTCCTCTACAGCTAGTAGTTGTACTGAATCAGTCTATGCAGCGATGAAGATTTTAACTGATATCTCACCTGCCACATTTGTGAACAATGCAGTCCCATTCATATTGTATATTTTATTGTTTCAATTTTTGGCTAGCGTCCCATCCCATTTGCTAAGGATAAAGATAGCTTTGAGTTTGGAGATACTGTTCTGGCAAGTCCATTCTCTGGTTTTCAAAGTAAATGGAATGAAGGCAGGCACGACTTTTGCCCTGGTTTCCTAAAGATATGAGACCTACACAATCATGCCACACAAGACTTTCTGTCCACCCATCCCACTTCCATAGCAGTTTCTGATCCTGTAGGTCAGTGTCAGCCTTATTTGACAGGAATGAGGAGTTTAAAGACTGAGTTTCTGCAAGATTGGGGGTGAGGGGCAGGAGGGCAACCAACGAAAACTAGAGACTCGCTGAATCAGAATAAGCAGAGAGCATATCAGACATTCAGAATCCTTCTAGGAAAGAGACTTACAACAAGGTGTCTGTTTTGGATGACGAGTTTCAGATGAAGCTTGTTCCCTCTTAGAGCTGGACTAGGCTAGAGCACATATTGGGCTTCCTGGTTCCAGAACTCCTGGGTCCATTTGCACTAACCTGGAACATGTTTGCCATTATATGAAATTCTCAGTGAATAGGGTTATTATTTGTTACTGTGAAGCTCCTTTCATCAGAAGATCTGAAAGCATGCAACAAAGAAGGCCTTGAGTGTTATCTCTGGTTTATGAATTGAAGAACAGAGAGGGGCAGCACCTTGTCTGAGGTCAATAGATCAATGGCAAACCCACCTGTCTCCTAGGCAGCTCAAGCAGTTGTCCATGCTGCTTCAGGCACACCTCAAATAGAATCAGGTAACTTTTGTTTTGCTATCCTATTTTTTTCTCTTATAGGCTTGACACTCACTTGGAGTAGTGGTCTAAGCTAGTTATTTTTACCTGACAGACATGAACCAAAAAAGCCTAGTTTTGTGGAAAGTAGCACATCCTCAGATTTTTAAAGCTGTGTTCACGTGAACATCCAAATATTGAGGGATTCCAACACACAAGTTGGTTGCTTTGGAAAGTTATCTGTGTCTGAGTTAACAAAAGGAATTCAAGAATCACGTCCAGCCACATCAGTTCTCGTGCAGTCTGAAGGCAGAAATTCTTGATGAATTCTGGGTTGGGTTTGCTATAGTTGTCCAGAAAAGTACCATTTACTCCCACTTAAAAAATGTGTAATGTCTGTGCATTCAAAATCTCAACATATTATTTGCTTACCTTTAAATACATTCTAGGAGATTATGTAGCTTTAACTGTTGTGTTCAGCTACCCTAAATAACTGTTCCATAATCAACGCCTATCCGTAAGCAGTTTCTAAAAATCAACCTGAAATATTCTCACACTGAAAATCAAATTTTTCAGAAAATCCATGCTCATTTTATCAGAACCTGATTTGTTATTCCAGACAAATCCATTCAGTGTCAGTGACTGAGGATAAAACCACAAAACAGTGTTGCCTCTGCTAAATAGCAACAAAGAATGATTCATTTGCAATAAGACTTCAAGATTGCAATAAGTAAATAAATGAGGTGCTAAAAGCACTGAATCCCAATGATGTCTAAGATGTCAGGAAGGGAAAAAAGCTGGCTCTTACCACACAACTGCATTTAAAATGAAATCATAGGATTTCATTTCAATGGCTGGTAGGAGACAGAGCCATCGAAGAGAGTTGAGAACAGTAAGTGGTACTTGAATTTTAACTCGTTACAGATACTTAATTCTGCTCATACCAAAATCATGACATGCCTGTGCCTTCAGCAACCCAGGTATAAAAATGCTAATGTCAGGATCACTGCTTGAGCCCCTGTGAAGCTGGTGGCCCTTCTCTCTGAGTCAGAAATTAATCCTCGTGATTGGCAGGCCTAGATGTCCAAGCAGCATCCTGACTAAGTGCAATGCTTCATCACGGCTATTCTAAACATGTTTTAGGCTGATACATTTACCTACTTCTGCCTGAATGTTTTCCTTTGATTTTTTTTTTTCCCATTGTAGTTTTGGGCATTGCTTCAGTGGAACACTTTAGCAAATATTTAATTTTCATTGTGTAAGTGACTGAGCCACCTTCTACAAAGCAGAGCTTCTGCAAAGCACACAGTCTTTTTCCACCTTAATTGCAAAGAGGATTTAAACATATGCTTATGCCCTTTGATGGCCTGAAAATCTTGTTCTCATGATGGAAGCAGAGCTATTGGTAGCAGTCACCTTCCCAATACTGCTGTGTCACTAGGACTCTCACCTGATGTAGAAAAGTCTTTTAATCTCAGTGCCCATTCAGCTGCTGTGCCCTCCGCTAAGGTCATCACTAATTGATTTAAAAGACACTTCTCTTTTAGGAAACTGGAGCACAGTTTTCAATCACACACAGTTTTAAAAGTAGTACAAATATACTAGAAAGAAAAAAAGGAGAAAATTAAGATTTGCTTTCTGTCAGAGGAATCACTAGTGTAACGTGATACCTCCTAAAACTAAGGATTGTACCAGACATGGACAAGAACAAAATTCTGAAAATGACAGCACATAAGAAGTATCTATTTTGACATGTAATATACAGAAATGCTCTGATTTCAATAAAGAACATACACTGTTAATTAGGTCTGAGTTGAATGTAATATCCAACACACTGTGGGGATTAGAGCAAAGTCTGTGAGTTTGCACTTACTCTGAGGGTGATTTTAGTATGTTTTTTTGTGGGTTAAAATTAATGAAAGGAGAGAAAGGGCCAATAGAACATGAATGGAAACTATTTAATTAACCCAAGTGATTTCTAGATGTATAATCAGTTTCAGAGCCTAATACTTAGTGCTTTCAATGGCTAATTAAAACTCTGCTTGGGATGTTAAAGATTATATGTGTGCTTGAACAAAAGTAAGAATTCAGGATTTGTATTACTTTGATCATTTAGGGTATGGCATCACAGCCTCATATGCACATATCTAAATGGGATGGCTCACGTGAGTAAGGTTAGTCATCTGCATGTGCAGTGGCCACAGCCTTCACAAACACAGCAGGGAATTTTAGGACTAAGCGTAAGTCTTCACATTTGTCTTAAGAGACAGACTCCCAGGCTAGGAATTGTTACAAATCCAATAATCTGTCTATCAAGCACAGAGATGATGTTGCCAAATGCTGCATTATACACCTTTGCAAAATTGTGCCTCTAATGTGCATAACAGATATACTAAAAACTTTATTTGCAGGCTTGGGTAGCCCTCTGTAAACCACCTGATGTCAGCAAATCAGAATAGTTGCTGTCTAAAAGAAGGTGCACAAGTTACAGAAGCCTTTATGTCAAATCTTTTGCCTGCTTTCATGAAGTGAAAAAATCATATTTTAAAAATGTAATTGATCCACAGATAATGTAAAAGTTCCACAAAACTAGAAGGTACACATATACAACATAAACCATGCATGAGGCATTCACAATATCAAAACATCCACTAAAATGCATGCACAGCATGAGCATGTCTACTTTCTGGTGTAGTAACTGTCCATTTTCCACATATTCAGGTCATGGAGACTTTAAAATATGAACATTGTTTTGAATCACATAATCTAAGATTTTACTTTGGAAACCAATCAGCATGTAGCTGGTTACATCCTTAACTTCTGTGAGCTGCCTTCCAGATTTTCAGGTGTCAGAAAGGTCATAGCACAATGCAATGTGCTATGTAGGAGAGTTTCAAACTTTCCTACATCCATGCTACAGAGACATCACTAGCCTATATACACACCCTTAAAATAATGAATAGCACTGTATTAAGTTGTTGCTAGGAAGGCAGATTAAGATAAGTGAATCAGTCTTTTCATTAGGAGTCGTCACCTTCTCATTTCTTTATCCTCAATTTGAACAGATACAGCTATATCACATGTTCCCACAAATACTACAAAATAATGAAAGGTAAGATGGTTCCTTAAATCCAGCTCATGAATCCCTAAATTTACTTCTGTATGCCACAAGCACACACACACAAAAAAAAATCCCTGTAAATCTTTTTCTAATTGCCAGTTTAAAGTGACAGTGCAGGGAAGATAAATTCTGTAGTTACTCCGTCAAGACAACAATATTCAGTTTATTTACCCCAGATTCATTTATGTTGCAGATCATGCTGCACAGGTCAGAGTGCTTCAAATACACATGACACAAAATAGAGGCTGAACAGCAAGACTGAGTGTGTGGTCACTGTGAATGTACAAGCTCAATATATTCCTCTCAGATGGGTGAATCCTGAATGAGAATA